AGATTAATTATGATCTCTTTTCAAGAATTTCAAAAAAGATGCGGGTATTCTCATACAGCGGCGGTCCGCAATGTGTTAAAATAATCGCTTTGTTATATTGTGTTATCAATCCATCTTTTATAGATTATGTACCCATATTCCCCCTACGTGGCTTGTGCGCACAAAATCTGGAACAACCATGGACAGCGGTTTGCTAAAGTGGTCTGCGTATTTGAAGACAAACGGTTTGTTACCATAGTAGACGTGAAAGATGCATTATCTGATAACTTTGTAGGCGCCCCTGGGAACCTTTTATGCCGCCACCAACAGGAAGCCCGTGTCAACACAACGAAAACTGTGTGAAATTTGGCTGGAATTACGAATGTGCGGCCAGCCTGGGTCTCTGCTTTGCTCCAAGTCATTCAACTGGTGCTATTGCCTGAGCTATCGCTAATGATAGCACATAGTAGAAGATAAACATTTCTCTGAAACACAATGATGATTTTCAATAAATGTCGGCTCAAGAGTTAAATTTGCCTACCGTCAAATAAACTTCTTTGCATGCGGTCCGGATTTTTTTCAGGTAAAAAAAGCTGGGATCGGATATTTCTACGTCGCTGGTTTCCTTTTGAGATGAAGCTCAGAAGAATAAAGCTTATGCCGTTGATCAATCCCGTCTTGGGATGCGGCACGTTGGCTCGGAACGGAGCACGACCCAATTCGTCCCCGGACCGCGCACGTGGTAAGGCGTGCCACTTGCCACTACACCACTTCCGCTCTTCTTCTGAGATACGTCACACATACCAAATCCACTCATTGCAGTAGTAACAAGCCTTATAGTCGAGTTAAGGACGTATATATTTATTGTACCCTCAATTCTACGCCTCCCGTGAAACAGCTTGAAGATTTCCTCACTGAGGACGATTAATAAGGAGTGAACAATCGCTGCTTTTTTCGTTCTAGACCGAGTGAGTTGCGGTTCAGTAGAATGGGAATACTAGGATGAGAGCAGTACCAGCATATAGTACTGAATCGGGGTCTAATAAGTCAATTCGGTCTTCATGAGCTAATCCCATCCAACTTATAGAAAACACTAGTTGTATAAAATGCGCTCAGACCTTGACAAAAAGCTGTGGCCTGCAAAGAACCTGGATGAAGTTTCTAGCGGACGTTCACAAGGGTCGTGTTATACATGAAAGGATGATG